TGCAATCCTAAAATGCTATGGGAAGGGACGGAAACAGGTCCGTGACCTAAGAAGTGGTGAAGAAAGCAGTAAAGGCGAGCTGTTCGGGGTATGGGATCTGTTTAAGACAATTAGATTAAGGTATTTGTAATCCTATGACGCTATGGGAAGGGAGAGAAACAGGTCCGTGACGTAGGAATTGGTGAAGGAAGTAGTAAAGGCAAGCAGTCCGGACTGTGGGAACTGTTTGTGACGATTAGGTTAAGGTATCTGCAATCCTCAAATGCTATGGGAAGAGAGGAAAACAGGTCCGTGACGTAGGAAGTGGTGAAGGAAATAGTCAAGGCGAGTAGTCTGGAGTGTGGGAACTGTTTGTGACGATTAGGTTAAGGTATCTGCAATCCTAAAATGCTATGGGAAGAGAGGAAAACAGGTCCGTGACGTAGGAAGTGGTGAAGGAAGTAGTCAAGGCGAGTAGTCCGGAGTGTGGAAACTGTTTATGACGATTAGATTAAAGGTATCTACAATCCTAAAATGCTATGGGAAGGGACGGAAACAGGTCCGTGATCTGGTGGTGAAAAAAAGTGGTGAAGAAAGCAGTAAAGGCGACCTGTTCGGTGTGTGGGATCTGTTTATGACAATTAGAGTGTGTAAACCGTCTTTGACAATTACATTAATGTATCTGCAATCCAAAAATGCTATGGGAAGAGAGTGAAACAGGTCCACGACGTAGGGGGTGGTGAATGAAGTAGTAAAGGTGAGTGCTGAGTGTGGGAATGGATTAATGTATCTGCAATGCTGAAATGCCATGGGAAGAGACTGTAGACTGTAGGTTAAAATGATTACGACGCATAAATTGATACACATTACAATACATGCAATCGTTTACAATCGAAATTTACAACTGAGTTGACAACAGCTGATTTTTACTCCATAGAGGCTAAAAACTATTTTTACCAACTAAAGAGTAAAAATGATACTTTAGACCTGCAGCACATGCATTAAAAACTACTCTTTTTACTGCAGTATGACAAAAACAATATAAAATGGACCCTTGATGACTCCGCTCAATTTTGTGGATGCCTCTGCGAACGCCACCTAGTTTTACTTTCATCCAGCTAATTAAAATATATTATTTGTTAACAACCTAAGGTTGTTTATCTGTTCTTTTGGTGATTGCTAAGGACTAACTTTTTTCAACTTAGCAATAACATCCGCAGTTGGAAAGCACAGGTTCAATAAGGGTGAATAAAAGTCAAGAGTCCCCAATCTCCTACTTTTGTAAGTAAATCTACTACAGATACAGAGATGTTCTTTTGGTGGTCGTGCAATCTTTAGCAGGAAGTTTCATTTTATTATTTTAAAAATTTTGAGTGTCACCCAAAACTTGATGATTTGGGGCGGCAATTACTTCAAAATCATAAAATGAAACTTCTTGCTAAGATTGCAAGACCACCAAAAGGGTGTCTCTGTATATTTACTTAGGAAAATAAGATATTGGGGCTCTTGACATTTTATTCACCCTGTATAGGCAACCGCACCAGTTAAATATAAATATAGGGTAGATGCCGAATGAGTATGTGACGGAGTTTTTTTCAGCCAGATACTAATTGATGTATTTACTGTATCTATAATTTTACCATTTTTAGTTTGGAATTGTTTAGTAATTGAAAATTGTTGACTTTTGAGTAATCTCGAGTCGCCGAATTTCTCAATGTTGAACATAAAGACTCCATTATTTCTGTCTTTGTCACACTGTGTGTGTCAAAACCTTTCATTTCCCAACCCTACAGTTTCCCCTTGTCAAACAACTTTCAATTGGAGCGTTTTCAAACAGCCCTTCACACCAACACCTCACCACAAGACACAATAAGACGAAGGCAAATCTTTGACTAGCGGTAAACAATCGGAGATGAAAGCCAAAGACTTTAATTTGCACAAGCGGCAACAATATAATGTCAGACAGGTGCGGACATGTTGGTTGCCATGGCGACGACGCACGCGCACTCAGCGACGCCGCCATTGGTCGCCCGCTCGCATAACATTACTGTAGTCCTGCAAAGCGGTATTTTATTTTGGTAACCCCATTACCTATTATTGCTGCTAAGTAAATTCCTCTGCCGCATCCCCCCTTTCCGCGTCTCTCTCCCTGTTCTCTTTCGCTTCTAATCCCTTTTCGGCGGTTATTATTGTAGAGACGCCAAAGAGACCGCAGGTTTTACGTTTTACGTAATGACAAAGGGCGATGACAAATTCCCAAACAGTTTGCGATTCCCTTGTTCCTCGCTGGAGCACTTGTACTCGGATCGATTCTGCAATGTGGAGTTTGAGGAATAACGTCCTTAGAGTGGTGGAAATTACATTGGTTCGGTCTTCACGGATAACACAATAGGCATACTTTTGAAACGATTTTTTGCTGTGTCTTTGGCAACGCAATAGAATCTGAACCCCTTCAAGTGCTCTTGAATGTAATTTAATATAGTAACTGTTTCTCTACCAGTTTTTAACAGGTTGAAAAGCTCTTCTAATGGAGGGTTGTTTAAATCCTAGTTTTCCTCATACCATGGGTTTGACCATTTTTGAATACTGAATCACATTTCCCTCCCAGGAACCAGATAAAGCAATGTTTTTATATTTATTATCAAGGAACATAGTTTATGAAGCAACTCACAGTTTTAAACCACTCTCAATTTTTTTTATTTTCCTTCAGTTGATACTTGGATAGGTAATGGGTAATTTACATCAACGTACTCCGTCGGTGGCTCAGTTTAAACGTTCATTATCATTTAAAACTGTATTAAATATTAGAATCTCTAGTGTTACCCATAGTCAACGATTTAACCCTTTACACTTTCAACTCAAACCCCACCCAATATGTATCTAAACATCTTAGGTATCAACACAACTAATCATTATCAAGACTCATCGTCTACTCTGCGCCTCGGCTTGTGATGGTCTGGTCTGACAATATTGATACTGAAGTCCTCTGTTCCATTGATCACCACCAAAAGATCAAAGCCTGGAGACTATTGTGTTTGCCCCCCTTTGCCACCCTGCGCTTCACAGTACACACCTTCGCTTACGAACATTTCTATGAACCACCGTCTAACCGTTGAATCGCACTAGTAATGAGCTGTATGAATTGTTTTGGTATAGTTGGAATAATTTAGGCGTAGCTTGAAAATTTGCGCGGATTCACAAGTTTGAGGTTGAGACGGTGAAAACTTTGTTGTTTTTAATTAATAATGTTTTAGCTTTGAACCAACTTAAACCTTTGTTTTCAACCTCCAAAGCACAAATTCGCCATCCCCATTTCTCCACATATTTGATATGTTTCCCCACATATTTGATATGTTGTCCCAAAATATTTTATATGTTTCCCCACATTTCTTATACGTTTCCCCACATATTTGATATGTCTCCCCACATATTTTTATGTTTCCCCACATATTATATATGTTTCCCCACATGTTTGATATGTTTCCCCACATATTTTATATGTTTCCCCACATATTTGATATGTTGTCCCCAAATATTTTATATGTTTCCCCACATATTTTTATGTTTCCCCACATATTGTATATGTTTCCCCACATATTTTATATGTTCCCCCACATATTTTATATGTTTCCCCACATATTTGATATGTTTCCCGACATATTTGATATGTTTCCCCACATATTTTATATGTTTCCCACATATTTGATATGTTTCCCCACATATTTTCTATGTTTCCCACATATTTTATATGTTTCCCCACATACTTTATATGTTTCCCCACATAGTTTATATGTTCCCCCACATATTTTATATGTTTCCCCACATATTTGATATGTTTCCCGACATATTTGATATGTTTCCCGACATATTTGATATGTTTCCCCACATATTTTATATGTTTCCCACATATTTGATATGTTTCCCCACATATTTGATATGTTGTCCCCAAATATTTTATATGTTTCCCCACATATTTTTATGTTTCCCCACATATTTGATATGTTTCCCGACATATTTGATATGTTTCCCCACATATTTTATATGTTTCCCACATATTTGATATGTTTCCCCACATATTTTCTATGTTTCCCACATATTTGATATGTTTCCCCACATACTTTATATGTTTCCCCACATATTTTATATGTTCCCCCACATATTTTATATGTTTCCCCACATATTTGATATGTTTCCCGACATATTTGATATGTTTCCCGACATATTTGATATGTTTCCCCACATATTTTATATGTTTCCCACATATTTGATATGTTTCCCCACACACTTTATATGTTTCCCCACATGTTTGATATGTTTTCCCTACCAACACTCCAGATCAAAGTCGCAGCTCCACGAGTGTTTGGCCGCCGTTCAGTGTTTACTATGGTGAATTAATTCCCGTTCGGTATTAAACATTCCCCACACTCAGGGCGTCAAGTCGGCCGTGTCGATTTTACACTTGCCAAAACACCAGAACACCCCCGACATTAGTGATATTAAAGTGGCGCGTGCCGCGTGTTTAGTTGTAATCAAGTCATCCAGTTGTACATTGTCATCCCCCTAGCCACGCTCCTGTAACGTGTCTACATCCCGTGGGATATTTTTGTAGTTTGTGGGATATTTTTTATGTTCACAGCATATAGTGACTGTGTGGGTAGAAAGATTAACTCATTTCCTTCTAGGTAGGTAAATGCTGAAATTTGAAAGAGAGGTGATTTTGGAGTTTGTGGGATATTTTTTATGTTTTTTGTTGACATTTACATACAGGTATATTGCTGAAAAAAAAAAACATATTCCCGTCACTCTTAGGTATTGTGTTGACATCCCCTTGCTCATGTAAGGGATATCATTTGTAGTTTGTAGACAATTTTTATTCCGCGTGAAAATTGTATGGTGTTGTGAAGATAAATGGACCAGTCCACGCCCTCGAAATAAATGCATTTTAGCAGTGCCTAGAGAATGTTTTTCCATGGAGTTTGTGAATATTTTATATATTTTTTCAAGTTTCTTATCATTTTCAGGCGCTGTGTAGGTTATCAGATGAGCCCCGCCCCGTGCTAGTCCAGGCAGTGTACGATATGTACGATTGTCAATCAGTGGAGTCTGAGGACCAAGTCGGCTGTCGCTTCATCTTTATAGGTAAGAGATTTTTACGAAAAAAACTTTCTCAATATACATACTATGTATAAGTGGAGAAACATGTGGTGAAAGTATTGCTGTCAAAATTGAGTTCGAGTTTTCGGTGGAAATATCTGTTTTGGGTCCCCCTGGATTCTAAAAAATGGTTTGCGAAGTGATGTCCGTGTGTGTGGATGTGTAGAGTGCTAAGACTACACCTGTGGTCCGATTTTAATGAAATGTTGTATGTGAGTACTAATTCAGGATATCTATAGATTTTCAATTTCGGGGAGGGGGGGTTGGATTTTGATTTGACAAGTAGTGTCAGGTACCAGGACCTGCTCTGGGTCCGAGGTTTGTGACGCTACCGACTCATCGCAGTAACAATAATTATACTCTGTATGATGTAACCTGTCTCCTGATCCTCCTAGATGAGGTTTAGCTCGGTTTAAGGCCCGGGACAATCCCAGGTAGCTGGTCAGAAAACAGGTTATATCATACAGAGTATAATGGTTAACTACTAAACACCAAATAACTTAGATTCTTCTGTTTCAGGTATGCATTTAGATAAAGAAAGCCTGCACAAACTACTCCTGGAATGCATTGAGGACTCGGATATTTAGCTACGCCTGTTCTGGCGTACTTGTAAATACTTGCAAATAAAAAAGACCGTGTTATATTTTACCATTTCTGTTCCCCTCTCCCCATTGGAAAAACATACAAATTCTGAAACAACTTCATCCTGTTTTCGTGGAGGAAAAGTTTTTGAGGTCAGTGTATATGTTTGTTATCCATAGATTTTACGAATAATGTTTGTGGCCTCTGGTGTCATCAAAACGAAAAACAAAATCGGTAAGTATTTTTCACCTACAATATCTCCTCTATAGGGGAGGTCACTAAAACATATTAACAATTTCTAAACAACAATTATTTTTCAAAAATTCCACCGGACAGTCCCCCAATGTCCACGAACACAGGTGTCGCCTATGAGAAGTGGTAGGTGGGTGGGGGGTACAACTGTTCTGTAATTGGTTGATCCATCTGACTATCGATCGCTTCGGCCGAATGCAATATCCGACTAAAACAATTGTTTGTCCGTCCGTCCACTCCATAGGTATTGCATACCGTGATTGTGCTCTCTGTTTGCGTTGCTATGGGATCAATGCTTTCATTGGTGCCGGGTAGCGAAATGTGGATAAACGTAAAATGTACTTTGACAAACGCAATATTAATGTAGAATAGTGGTAGGGTTGTAACATACTGTCTATGTTTGGACAGTTATTCTCGTACAAAGCATTATTGCAGGCTGTAAATATTTTTCATTTCTAAAGTGTGTTGAAATCAATAGAAACTTTATCAACGTATAGAAGTAGAAGTACCTGGGGACCGAGCTTTGCACGGAGAACTTTATTAGTATTCTAACCTCTGAGAGTATTCTTTGGTCAATGTCATCTGACCCAAAAATATTGTTTTGCAGTCTATTTAACTTCTGTTTAAATAAATTGTGGTTGACTGAAGTAATGAGAAGAAAGAGTTTAAAAAAAATTTGTTTGGAGCCCCTAAACTATAGAAAATACCCAGTATTTTTCACGCTGAATTCAAAAAAGGCTATCAGTAGAAAGAAAATCTTCACTCCTTCCTTCTCTTGAAGTATTAGTCACTGAACTTGGGCTCGCTCCCCAAAACCTGTCCTTTACTCTTAATTTTCCTAACATGTGATACCATTTTCCGGAAACTCAGGACATTTTCCAACTGTAAACTATTACATCTTTGGATTTAGTAAGAAGAATTCTGTAAGGGGACACATTATAAAGCAGTTTTTATTAGGGTGGGTTATATTGAACTTTTGCCATAAACAATACATTACACTAAAATGTCGGTTCTTTTGTAGACAAAAGATACTAAAGTATGTACTACAAAATATGGAATTTATAAATATTTTCCTTAATTGTCTGCAAGTCCGTGGTTAAGGAAAGAGCCCTTATCAGCAGGAAAACTGGTTTAGTTTATTATTTCGTTTACCATTTAATTTTTTTCTACCTTCATTTCATTCCTAGGACGTTAAGTTCCAGCCGGGAATTTTCTACACATTACTTCAGACTAGTCCTAGACTCCTAGAGGTCGCGGCTTTATGACATATCCATTGGTATCTGTTAGGATTTGAACCCTGTACCTCTGGGACAGAGGCCCGGCCCGCTACCAATAGCTCGGTTTGCTCACCATTTAGCTTACTATTGATTATGATCTGACACGAGCCTCAAATTTTAAAAATAATACACAAAACCTTTTACAAGGAACTATACGATACGGATAGAAGGATTGCTGAAATTGTTTTTATGTGTTTTAAAATAAAGAACCCCTTAAAACATAGTCCTTGGACATTGAAAAACATACTTTTTGGATAACTCGTTCCCAAGAACGAAAACGAACCCAAACGTTGTCCCAAGAACGTTGTAGGGGAAGAAAGTATATTCAAAACAAAACACCACCCTATCCTCTTTAAATAAATCATCCTCCTTCGACGGATAACAATATATCCTCTTTCAATTTTAAGAAACAACCGTATCTTCGTGGACAGATAGAGAACACCCTTCGTTTTATATTTAGAACACCAAATCTAGAGTAAAATTGACGCCAAACTTGACATTCTGTTGTAAATCCTCCTAAATTAAATTGATATCTAAATAAAAATTAAATTTAATCAACATTTAAAATAGTGTTAAATTACACACAATTGATAAAGAATGTTAATAACACTATATTTACACCCCTCCGTTACAAAAGTGTTGTTGAAAGTTTCAATGTAAAATGACGCAATAGCTGTCTTCCCCACTCAAATAATATTGTTTTCTTTTAATATAAATGTTCTCGCCTGCTTTAGTGTGAATTCAAAACTTGTTTCTCTTCAAATTAAAAGGGAGGGGAAAATACAACTTCGTCGGACTTGACAGCTCCATAGCATGTTTACTAATATTACGATTTTTGAGTCTCTAATTTATTTCGTTGCCTTCTTTTTAATATAGACTTACAAGGAAAGTGGGGGAGTTTACGTAAAAAATAATATTTTTCGTAATGTAGGAATCATCACGGACTTTTCTTTGTGTTGTATCTTGGTTTGGTTTCAAATTAACCAATAACCAATAATAAATCTGAATATGCACTCACAGAAGCCCATTTAATATTTTTAGTTTTTCATTTCGTAACGCTCCTTGTTTGGTTGTTATAGTATACTAGCTGTTACCCACGGGCTGCACCCCGTTTGACTTCATAAAATATATTAATAAAACCAAAACTATTGATTGGTTAAGTTAAGCTGAAATAAACAAAACAGAATACAGTAATACAAACAAATAATCACACCTGATTCTTATAAGGTAATAGATTGAAAGAATAACATACAAATGAGTACAGCTGAGGTATTTTTAACATCAGGTATAATGAAAGTTCCCTTTAGAAAGGAATTACGACCTTAAAGGGCAATTTATGAAATAATGAATAGTTTTGCGCAAGGTTTCTCGTCATGACGAACATTTTAAGTATATGGTTTATGGGGGTGTGACATGTAGTTTTCTCAAAAGTGCATGGGTACTTTGGGATTTATGGATTTCACAACAAGAGTAAAAAGTTAGTCATTACATTTTATTTGAGACCACGTATGAAATATTGAATTTTAAATGGTCGAGAAAATGTATAGACCCACTTTCACTCGTGTTTTGAACGTTACTTTTTGCTACACTACAAAGAATTATTATTTTCTTAATTAAAACAGACTTTAGACATTTCTTTGTTACAGTTTGGAGCATTACAAAACTCACAGAATTGTTTAGGTTATGCTTTCAATTTAAATATTTACTTTGGTTGTACAGTTTTGGTTTTTAATAATTGAAACACTTGACAAAACAATAACAAATCTTTGTTTTTTTACGTCAGCAAAATCTAAAATGAATGACAGTAAACATTTATTTCGCGTAGGAAACATTCTTTTTCCGTAGTAAACAATGTAATGATGAATTTTCGCAGGTGATAAACATGTAACGAAAACAGCTAACTTCACAGTAGTGTAGCGAAAAAGATTTAGTTTTTATTTGACCAGGTGTAATATCCTTAAGATCAAAAAGCATACAGACATTTATTTTTACTGTTATGGAATTTTACAATGCTACAATAAACACAATCCAGTAATAATGTAGTGGTAAGCTTATACTACAAGAATTAGATAATACAAATTCAACACAATACAACACAATATAAATATGCCGGCTGATGAGGTAACAAAAAATAATATTAACTACAAGACTCATTTTTTACCAAAATTAATACTTTCGGTAAAAGGATAGCAACATAAAAATAATTCCATACATTCAAACAACAAGATCTTTTTACTGTTTATTACTATAATAATGACGATGGCATTAGACAAAAATACAATATAATAAATATAAATATATAAATACAATATATAAGCATTTAGATACAGGACGTACTGTTTTTGGAGTACGTTATTTAAAGTGCAACATTATTTAAAAATAAATATCGCAAAGTAAAACGATAATATATGTTACATTGTAATGCTTGAGTATAGCGGTTTTTTGTCGAATTTTAGTTTTATTTGATCAACATCACAGTTTTATTACGTAAGCTTTTTCTTAAACGAATTGTAGAAACAAATTAACGTGTTTTATTTACATACTTTATTTTAGGCGTTTAAATGCCATTTCTCAGTTTATCCCTTCTTCAACAAAGGTATGCCTGAGTATTCAGCAGGCCATATGTTAAGCACTCTGGAAGCAGGATGAGCTAGCATAAGTATGTTGGGTTTGTGGTTCGTGGTATGATTAAACATGGAAAGCATTTCTGGCCAGCATCGTCCTGGCGTGGCTCACATACTTATCACGTACGGGGAAGTTTATTTGTTTAGCGAAAAAGAATTCAAAAGAAACTGTGAATGACTTGACGCTTTAAACACTTAAATTTGCATTTGGAACAAAGTTTGTTTTATGTGTATGACTACTTAAATTGTA